CAGATACCAAAAACACCAAACATTGTTTTAATTACTCAAATAGAAGAAAGCTGGATAATTTTTACTTGCCTATGAAGAATGTTCTGCTTAAGCCAAAACAAATTCTTTACCAGTTCTTTTTGAAAGTCTGGAAGTATTTAAGTTTCTCTTCTCTGCCTATGAGACAATGCCTGTTAGTGAGCCAGTGCTGCATGGGATAATACCCTTCATTTGTAACAACCTGTCATTCAGCTGGTCAGTAAGCTTATTAAGTATGTTTCTTAATTGTTTCAGCCATACAGTTTATTAAGTTTGAGGTTTCTTACTCTGTTTGTCGCGCCTACAGGAAAAAAAAGAAGCAACAATCCAAGGTCTGTGCCTGTTGAATAGTTTACAGAAAGTTAAACAGTGTATCCATTCACTTCTGCTATTGTGGTATGTGAAATGCAGTCTTTTGAGCTGAATCCCAGAGTCATTAGCTATTAACTCAGGCAAAGCACCTATCAATTTCAATCATAGTTAATCATGTGACACTCCTTTATTTATGCCTGTGTTGTGGTTTTAACTAACAGCTCGTGACAGGGATTTGTAGTTGGGTCACGCAGGAGCAGGAGTCCCAGGAAACGTTGTGGTCCCTCGGCCAGAATCCTCTGCGGTTGCCCTGAGGCTAATTGCCAGACTGGACTCTCTACCGCACTTTACAGGGACCTGAATAAATTCCTTCTACTGCCTTAGCAGAGGGATTTTGAGGATATAATCCTTCCTTTTCCCTGGCACTGGAAAACACATGAAACCCTGGTGGCAGTGCACAACTCAAGTACTGTTAACGCTCCAGACTGTGGAGATGGGGCAGAGGCTGGAGTCTGGACAGAGGAACAAAGAGGTGATGTGGCTTGAGGTGGCCTTTGTGCACCAGCACAGGGTCAGCCAGAATTTCAGTCTACCAGTGGGAATATTCAGTACTTCCTTCAGTTATATAAAATATTGGCTTAGAAGCCCAGGCACGCATGGGGAAAAATATGTGGATTCGAAACAATACTTTCAGTGTCTGTAAGTGCTTTACCCAGGAAGAACTTTGTTTTATAGCAGTACCATGTGTGCCTCATACTGCTGCTACTGCTGAGCCTCTTTCAGCACAGTTGAGCTCTTTTATACCAGTCCTTCATGACTTCTTTGCCTTCTGAAGCAGTAGGAATTATCTCCAAATCATAAGCTTGTGACAGAGGTATCATTCATGAAAATCTGTTCTCTTTTCCAGAAGCCCTCAGGAATACAGACTAGATTAGTTTAAAATGTATGTGGATGATGGATAGAAAATTGTAAACCTAAGCTTAGGGAATGCCATCATATTCGTGCATAGTGCAAGCTGTATGCTTGTGTTTAACTTCACCGCTTATTTTAGACTCGTATTTATGTGTTGGAGTTGTGTTGAATGGCGAGAAAAACTAAAAATAGTTATGGATTCCCCCAAGTGACTTTTCCAGTCACTTGTGACTCAGAGACTGGAACAGACTGTCTGAAGAACTAATGAGTTCTTCTCAGTAGTAGGAAGTGGGTAAGACTTTTGAAGTGGATAGAAATTACCTAAAAGTTTTCGGAGACCTCTAGAAACAGAGCTTCAGTTCATTGATGCTTAGAGTTTGTGAAAGGGAGGAGCATCTTAAGAAACTGTAGCTGGCTAGGAAACGGTTTGTGCAGTGCCATGAGTGTTGGAAGTATCTGAAGCACTATTAGATGTACCAGAGAAGTCAGGGTTTATTAGCCGTAGAAGAACTCTCTGTTTCTGCTTGGCTTAGGACTTCGCAGAGCAGTCGTTTTTTTCTGGTGCATAGCTCCAAAATTACACAGATCTTACACCACGAGGAGCCTCATGTGGCAGTTGCTTTTCCTCGCTGGCCAGTTTCTACAATGATCTGGACGTTAACCAAATTATTGATTCTTCAAGCTTTAATTCACCATAGAGGCAGTGGGAGAAGCAGCTTTAATCATTGCCAGTTTTTACTGACAGGACTACAAACCACAGTTGCCAGATGACTCAGACTTTGGCATCCTTATTTTCGCTCATGGTTTTTTATATGGAAATTTGCAAAAGTTATGACCACAGAGATCATGATTTTCAGTAGAGTGCAAACGCTGTAGCACCACACCTAAACTAAAAGTGGGCTTTAGTCCATCTTCGTCCTCTTTTTTTTTTTCCGTTTTTGTTTTATATGCTTTTAATTTACTACTGTTAAATGACACCTTTTCTATTCTGGGGAAAAAATAAAAATAAAAAAAAAAACCAAAACAACAAAGGCCAGTTCATGATGGCATGTTGGCTCTCATGTTAATGGAGTCTTGCCTCGACACACACGAGCTGCTGAGATGTGTCCTTGAGGCCTGTGACCTAGCAGAGGAGCAGTGGGTGTTAGGTAATGTGCCTCGCTGCCCAAATGCTCCCTTTCTGAGATCATAAGGGGAGGTGCAGCACCAGCCTTGATTCCTCCCACTTCTTTTCGGAGCAAGGAGAATTGTAAAACTGAGGCACAAGGAGGGGAGAAGAGTCAAGTGCAAATGGGTTTAGCTGACTCTCAGTAACAGCCACAGTATGAGACTTCAGTGAGTGGCTTCTCTGTCTTTGAAGAAGCAGTCTAAGCTCTACAAAAGGAATTGAGCAGCTGTAATTATAAACTAAAACTGAGTAGCTGTGATTATAAAGTAAAATGGTCCTTCCTAGAGGATGCTCAGCTGGGATGCAGGTTGAGAAACCAGCATTGTGTAAAGACGTAACATGAATTCTCCAAGGTTTTAGGGCAGGCACTTGGAGGAGACATTATGAGTACTTTCCAGTTGAAAGATTTTTGAGCTTCTGGGAACTGCAGCAAGATCTGTATATCATCTAGCTCAAGGCAGTTGAAAGAGCTAGTTCCAGTCTTGAAAACAGCCGAGCTGCTGCAGCAGAGGGAGTTATGCAGAATTCCCTGTTTGTGCGCCTTGGTGGCCTTTGTGAAGTGCCAGGCCGAGAGTTGCTTCTGGAAACAGAACTGGGTGACTGACTGGTCCGGAATGGTCAATCTCGTACTAATCCTGCCAGGGTCCAAGCCAGGGGAGTGCTGGGCAGCCTGAAAGACACATGTTCACCTAGTGTAAGCCTGGGCCCCCACCTCAAAGGTGGCACTTGCTTACTTTACTGTTTTAACACAGCCAAATACCATCCAGGTGAGGACTGTTTTTCACCCCTTGGAACGTGGGAAAATTTTGTCACAAGACCCTCTGCAGACGGTAGTGTGACAATAGACTCCAAAAGTCTATTTTAACCTGTTTGGCCACTCTGTTCTTTATGCTGTTCATGTGTCACCCTAAAATGAGGCTCAAAGCACAAGTGGTGGTACCTTGTATAGGGGTGATGTGCAAAGGCGCACTGTAACTTGGGCAAGTTGCCCTGGTGCTAAAAGCTCTGTTTCCCAAGAGAGGCTGGCTTCTACTGCGGCAGAGGATGCTCCTGGCTGCTCACACGTCCCTTGACAGGTGTGTAAGCTTCACACGCAGCAAGTGCTGAGCTGCTGCAGGTTGCACATTACAGTTTGATGTTTAAATGGTGAGCTGGTGCTTTTAATTTGTTGCTGAGATATTTCAGGAGGTGCCTGGGGAGTATCTGTGGAAAAGGGGCAGAGAAGATGGCTGGGATGATGCCTTGCCAGCCCTCCCCATGCAAAGAGGGGACTCTCTGATGAGTCAGAGCCCTGACGTTGTGGGGTAGCCTGCTATCCTCTTAGGACTCACACTGTGAAGCTACACAGAGTAACTGTACTTCCGAAACATCATTGACTCATGGATGTCCGCACAATTAAGAGCACACTGAACAAAATTTGGGGGAGGTTGGAGGAAGCAGTCAGTGCCTGTGCATTCAGCACGCGTCCCTGCTGCAGAGCAACTGGGTTACCAACCAAAGCGAAAGCAACCACAAGCCACAGCCTGTGCCATAGGATGAGCCAGCTGTCTTGAGCAGAAAGCCTAGGTGGCAGCGAGCATTTGGGTCGGAGGTTTACGTTCTGTCGGGAAAGGACGTTAGATTAGGGAAAGTCTATTCACTCTGTACTGAGGATTCACACTTCGACACATTTGAATTGTTTGCTGCAGTGCCTATTTATATCAGCATTTGCTTTGAAAGTGTTACCACGCGCAGCTGTTGTGCACTTCTCTTGTGCTTTGTGCACTTCCATTTTATACCTAATTGGCAGGTTGAGATGTATTTTTTTTTTAATGTCTGCATCTCAGAAATACATTTAAGCTTTCTGTACCATGCAAAATGGAAGGAAATTGCAACAGTCAAGAACATAGTTAGTACCTTGTAAGCTTCTGAAATTTGGTATTCTTATTAATAAAAAGTGTAATAAGTATATTCTTGATCGGGGGAAGAAAAGGAATATTGACCTCAGAAATTATTACAAGATTAACTTAAATATTTGCATGGGGAAAGAGACACTTACTTGGAATAAAACAGGCATCACTAACTTTGACTTCAGTCGTCAGTGTTACCTTCTTCAGTATCTGGGCAGCAGAATCTGTTGTTATAATTTCGCAATTTTCAGTAAATGGTCATAAACATTGGCAGGAAGTTGAAGCTTTTTAATAGGAAATAGCATTATAGAAATGAGTCATACTTTTTGTTTTTCTTTGAGAGTATTGGAGATAATTTATACAGCTTTTGAAAAAGTGGATGAGCATGTTTTTATGAGGAAAAATCTGAAGAATAGTTGCCAATGGCGAGTTACTACCTTGGAAATACACTCACTCATTCCTATGGCAGACTGCTCTGTTTCTTGCTCCTTTTCAGGTTGACACAGGGGAAGATAATAATGTCACTTTATTTACTCATGCCTGTGTAGGGAGCAATTGTAATGCACAGGCAATATTGAAGTTCAGCTGAATCTAGTGTCTCAGCAAGAGGGTGACCCAAGACGACTGAAAAAGAACATTGTACTAGAAGTGAGCATCATACGGTATCACTAACCAGAGTATTCTTTACCTGACTATTCCAGTGTGGCAAAGCACTTCCTGGCCTTTCCAAGCAAGAGGACTGCTGTGGAACCGTGGGTACTTCCTGGGGTTTTAACAAATGCCAGAAATGTCCCAAGAAGCCATGTAAGTGCTGTTTTGTTGTTATTCTCTGGATCAGTTTATGCCTTTTTTTTTTTTTCCCCTCGAGTACTATTTTTCCTTTTTTGGATTAAAAAAAAAAACAAAACACAAAAAAACCCACAAACAAAACAAAAGAGAAAGACCTTAGTAGAAAGACGGTGCTATGGTTTGATTAGGGACAGGTTGCAGAAACTGTAATTGTCCTGCATGCCAGCAGAGTTACAATACGCAGGCACTCAGTTTAGCCAGCATAGTTAACGTTGGGTTTTTTGCCCTTCCTCCTCCTTTAAGCCAGTGATGCACTGTTACATTTTCTCAGTGCGGGAAGAATAATGACACTAAATCATCTTGCCTCTTCCAGCTGGATTTATTTTTTTAAAAGTTTGCACAGAAATGTTGAATTATAGAGGTGCCAGTTACTGCTTGGAGAGAATGCAGTGATCTCTTGGGACTGCAGATGAACTTTCAAGTTTGGAGCCAAAGTTTTCCAGGCTCTAAATTGTCAGTTACAATTATTTTTTTTCTCAGTTTTTGAAATATCTTCCTCAACAGTTAGGAAGTGACAAAGACTTTCTTCACCATTTTGGCATCATATTATAATGAGAAAGAAAGTTTGAATTATTAGCATGATAGGTGAAGCTAGTCTCTTAAACTTCTTGTGAATTACATTATTTTTGCACAGGAATAATAATACTTCTCTGTCGTGTCATATTTCCATTGCTAAATGAAAGATGAAAAAAGATAATGTAATCTCTGTTTTGCAGATGGAGTGGGCCAAAAGTAGTGCAGGGAGTTGCAGTCATTCTTATCTAGGTCTTCTAGGCCCCTGTTATTTGTTCAGATAGGAACACTGGAAACGTGTTCAGTGTTTGATTTTTTTGGAAGCATATTTTTATCTACAAGTCTTAATGTAGATGTAAATACAATTCCAGCAGAAAACCTGCTGCTACTCCTACTTCTCTGGTTCCTCCTTCGACAGGACAGTCTGACATAAATTTATGCTGACTCAGTCTGATCTGCTAGTTTATGATGCATTTAAATTTCATGTTTTGGAGTATGTTTATCTTCTGATGCGCTTCCGAAAGAGAGCCTCCTTGGGGTCTTTGAGGGCCATAGTTAATAAAAGACTTGGGTATCTAAATTTTTATTCCTGTAACATGTAAATACAGTTTCTAACAGACACATGCATTCTATATTGGTCTATGAGTTGTGAAATATGTCCTGATTTTATAGCCTTCTCCAAAGAAGTAACAATTTAACTGCAACTGAAAGTGTTGATCACCAGAAGCATGTGGGCATGCAGAATGTTGCTTAGTGGATGTGGGTGTGCCATGAGAAAAATCACGAAAACCTGAAATGTGCTTCAACCAAAAACTGGTGGGAACTACTTGTACAAATTTTTGGTGCCAGGTTTGAAAGGAAGCCCATGTGCTAGTTCTTCATAGCTCAGGTAAAACACTGGTCATCTCAGCCTGGAATCCACAAGGGAGAATGTGTTGATCAGGCAGCTGCTTAATGCCAACAAACTCAGCATGATGTTAAGAGTGAGCAAGCAGGGAAACACAGGGACAAACCACGTCTGAAATCCTCATCCCCACATGCTTCCTGGGTTGGTACAGAGAAGTGCCTGTACACACCCTAAAACCTCTCCTGAAGGGAAGTCCACCACTGTTTTTTCAAAGCACTGAGTAAGAGTAATTTTTTTTAAATGCTCATGAGATGAGCACTGTCCTTTTATCGTAAAAGCTTAACAGCTAGCACACTTGCTCAAGATGGGACAATTCAGAGTTCCTTTATCTGCCAGAAGAATTTCTAATCTACATTTTATACCTATGAGGAGATGCCCTAAGCTGTAAAATGTAGAATTCTTGGAACAGGACTGGGAACCCAGGCTCTTTCCCAGTGTCCTTAATTATTTATGGTATGAGTCACGCTCACTCCTGCTTTCTGGCTCAATCTGGAATTGGTTTTTTGAATGTAACTGTATGATTTCAAGAGGAGACAGAGAATGTTGCCACTTGGAATAATCCCATCCTTATGATTAAAGCATTCATGGAAAGTAAGGGTTTGTGTCTCCTAGACATAACGGGATACATTTCTCATCTTTCTAGGTGGAAGCTTTCACTATGCATTAGTGTTTTAAGAAGGGAGGAGGGGAAGGGTACACTCTCTGTTTTCTCCAGATTAAAATACAATGTCGTCTACCACTACATTATATCAAGAGTACGATTTGGTAGGTGTATGCTTCAAGAATACTCACTGAATCTGTCAGGATGCTTTGGCAGAGGTATATATATTGTCTTAGTCTAGATTTGATTTAGGAATGAGTTAAGCATGATGCTGTTCAATCATGCCATGACTTACAGCAATTCTGCGTGGGTGAAAATGGTGAATTTTCAAATTTCTAAGAACTTAAGGTGTTAAATTCAGAGTGTCGCAGGAGTTTAAGTGATGTTGCAGCATCTTAGAGTTTTACAGATGTTCAGTTTGAACTTAGGGACACAGCTTGAACTTTCAAATCTGTCTTGGATCTGAGCCTAAGTGTCCTTTGGGCATAGGTGTCAAATTAAGCTTCATGTCAGTATCAAAGTGTTATGCTTTTGTAGAGCAAATGATTTCCAAAGATAAATCTAAATTTATGATAAGATTTAATGAAAATGTGGAGTGGCTGCTTAAGGCTTTATATTTCATCAACTATTTTTTTTTTTTGCAATAATGAGAATGTTTCAGTGGTGAAAAGAGTATGCATATTTTTTTATATATATATTTGTCTGTATATTTTTATATATATGATATTGGATGGAAAAACTTGGGAGTCAAGTAAGTTGTTACTAAGTTATCAGTTAAGTGGTGTCCATGTGTCCTTAAACAGTGACAGCATGGTAGTGTCTGAGCAGGCAAAGTTAATCCCCCATTAGTCCTATGTAATGTTGACCTGTTGTGATGCTTCACCAAATTGGTATTACCCTTTTTATTGTAGACTTTTTGAAAGCAAGCTGACTTCCTTTTGCTTTCGTGGTTTTATGCTTCATAAACCTTATTTAAGGTTGACCTATTTTTTATAATAATACATAATCAGGTTGCATTTAATGTGCGAAACCCACTTCAGCAAAATATTTAAGCATATACTTCAGTCTTATTAGCAGGCACTTTTCTTCCCTCTTCAGTCAACTATGTAAGGATGTACGTAAGTTTGCGTGGACTTAAATAGGGCTTTGTCACTTTGTAAAGATGTACTTGTGTATTTTGGGTAATAGCCACTGCTCAGTCAGGGCTTCTGTCTTGTTGCAAAGTCAAGTGCCTTGGCCTGAGAGAGCTCCCATGCCTGTAAGTTTACGGGTTATTCCGTATTACTCAAAAGAAGAAATTTTGGAACAGATCTCCTTTTTTGATCACTTCTGTAGAAGCGACTTTTAAGACAAAGTGCATTTCTGTGTTATGTGGGGAATGTTTTGATTGTTCAAGGTTCTTGCTAACAGTTAATAATTACAAACAGGTTGTCTTAAGTGAGTAAAGGGTGAGTAATGTAGGACTCCATCCAACTCCCGCATGGATCACTAACCATCACTGAACAAGCTCCTTACTCTACTGCAACCTGCTTACGTTGCTGCTCTGTGTAGATGGAAGAAAACAGCTGCTAGTAAGTCGCTGTTTCCTGTTCAGAGTGGGAGTAGGAGGATGAGGAGAGAGGGAGAGGTTAAAATCTCTGACCTCACTCCACCACTGCACTTTCTAGAGCAGCTGAGTCACCCTGGAAGGGAAAATGCGTTGTGGAACTGGAAAAGGCCTGGCATAGCTTATGGGCTGGCCTCCATCTACAACTGGAAGAGCTCTGCTCTTCCTCTGTTTGCCTCTGCCAGGCTGTACTGCAGGGTACCTTTCCTGCCCACTAAAAGTTGAGAGAGGCTCCCTTGGTTTTAGCATGAGTTGAATCAGGTCTGTAATGGCAAACACAGACCAGTTAGGACATAATCAGTGCAATTATGAATCTGACTCTGCCGACACGAGCATTAGGAGTTTCATTGACATTTTAGGGGACCAGGAGTAGGCTAATGCGTTACGCTTTTGAAAATCTCACCTTAAATTTCCACTGGTTTTAATATTAACATTGTGAAAAGATTGGAAATAAATGTGTAGCTGCCACTTTATGGTGAGAGATGAAATTTTCAAATTTTAATTTGTGTTAAAATGGTTGTAGTCAATGTAAAGATGGAAAAGTATGTGTTCAAAGCTGTAAGAACATTGTTGCTGTATTTTGACCTGTGTCATTGTTGTGTTTAACCATTTTATCACTTTAAGCAATCTCTAAGGAGAATCTTAATGTTCTAATTAAGCAATTATTTTAAATAATTCACAGCAATTTGAAATAAAACTATCTCACTCCAAAAACTGCTACTCAAGATCATCACTTAAATTTTTCCAAAGAATAGGAAAAGCTTTAGAACTAATGAAAATGTGGGGGGTTTGGGTTTTTTTCTTCCACCCTTATAGTCAACCAGTTGCCAATTTTAAAATAAGCTGCAGGGTTAAATGTGCAATTCCGGCATTATATGTGAAGTGAAGCCAATTGAAAACATTCTCTCATTCAGTTGTTCTGTCTTGTTTGATGGTTTATATACAGTAAACATGGAAAGTAATGCATTTGATTTTTTTATATTTTTTTTTGGCCTGCTGAAAATTTAGAATGCCTTTAAAGGAAAACAAAAGATCTGACCAAATATAAGGTATCTCTGTTGTAGCATTCAAATTATGAAAAACTCTCTTGACTCTTATTAAAGGCACTTGTGTGATCATAGTGCCAAAAGTTTAGTCCTATAGGTTCAATAAAGTACGGGACTTTGCCAAGAGGTTAGCTTTTAGTGCATAACCGTACAAAGAAGTTACTGCTTTCATTTATGATGTTATAACAGTTTAAGAATCAATAAACAGTTTTCTGTAGTCTCAAAGGCAACCTTAAGTGAAGGAAAGAAACAATAAATAGAAATAAAAACTAGTTAACTGAGCACTTTCTATTTTGGCAAAATTGAATTCAGTCTGTATTTTGCAGTGTTGTTATGCCCTTGACAGTTTACACTGATCAGCCAATAAGTGACAGAGTCTTCTAAAATTCAGCAGCTTTGTTAGGTAAATTACAAATGTGCCTCTTTCTTCTTTTTTTTCCTTGGTTTAAAATGGATCTATTTCGTCTGTGTTTCAAATATTTTTTTAATTCAATCTGACAGGAGAAATGGTACCCGGCAATTTTGCTTAACATTGAAGATACTTCTGCTTTCTAAAGCTGCTTTCAGTTTTAAAACCATTGAGTTTCCATCATGAATCTTCAACTCTCTCTTGTCTCAACATGATGTTTGTAGCTGGTTTGGGAAAGTAATTATTTGAATATTTGAGAACAACTGGGATGAAAGATAATGTCCTGATTTCAAAGATTTCTTTTTTGGACAAAATATAAATTTGACTGGATAACTGAAGACTTAAGTGGTATACATGTGGAAAGAGATGGAATTAAGGTTATCTGTACAACCTTCAATTTTAATTTGCTGACCTTTTATGCTTAACCATACATCATAAAAACTTATGTACCTATAAAGAAAACATTATAACAATTTGGCTGTCAGGTGCTCTAAATAAGCATATAAATCAGCAGTATTTAATTGATGTCATTTTTGTCTTCAGCTTACCATGGATACAGTCCTATGATGGAATGCCCACAAGGCTACAAGAGGATCAATGCTACGTTTTGTCAAGGTACGGTACTGCCCACGATTGATTGTGTTTATTTTGAGTACCAGTTTTCTGTGATGGATTCTTTGATATTTATGACTTAAATGATTGTCCATTGATTTGTATTTGGGAAAAAAATGTTGAGGCTGCTTCTAACTCTTTCCAAATATTGGCGACTCCATAGAGTGGTTTTTTGCTCTAGGGCAAAAACCTTTTAAAACTTCTACGTATACTCTTATTTTCTTTGGTAATGTATAAAGATGACTTCATAAGGATTTGTTTACTTTGTTTTTCAGTAGAAATACATTGTTCTGTCAGTTGTTTTGTTAAATAGTGAACCTGCAGACTTACTCAGTTAAGTCAGATGAAACTCGCAATATAGAAGAATTTCTATAATCACGAAAGTATAGAGTAATCGGAGAACAATTGTTTTGGACTTAAGAGGTTAGACACAACAGTACTGAGAAAAGCTGGATAATGTCACTGGCAAGTGGAAATGAAAAACCACGCGTACCTGGCTGCCATGTAAAGCAGTGACCTGTGTACTTCAAGAATGTGCATAATGCAGGTGAGGATGTATGAAGTTAGACACTGCATCAGTTGTGCCCTATATCTCCTGGCTGTAAGCACAGAAGTTACCAAAACAATACATGGTTGAGATCTGCATGATCATGCAGCTACACAGAAAGACTTGGGGCATTTAGATTCTCCTGGCATATGGCATCTTTATCTGACAAAGCTGAATAGACGACCATAGACATGTGCTCATTCTTTCTGTGTCTCTTGGAGTAGTGAAGAGGTGCCAGATAAGGATGTAGGAAAAGGCTTAATTGCTTGTCCGACTTGTTTGGCTCAGCTCAAGTAAAGAAGAGAAAGTTGCTCTGAGAAGATGTGCATCACCTGCAGTGGTGCTCTGGAGTGAGATCTGGGAAGGAAGGGTAAAATGAGTTCAAGTGAGGCCGACACTGACCTATGGGCAGGTTTGTTAGTCCTTGTTGACAGTGCAAGGGTAAAAGAGATCCCAACAAATAGTTGGTGGGAGAGAAGGAGAAAATGAAAGAGTAATTGGTGTAGTGATTGGATGTATGTAGGCATTTTGGAGATAAAGTTAATTTCATTTCACTGAATACTTTGAGTTAGCATGTTGATGAAGGAACATGCAGCAGCCAGCCACATAAAGAAATTATTTTACCAACCAAAAAAATACAATTTGTAAAGCACTAAATACAAACATCCCGCTGCTTCCACTGCTGAAGGAGATGTGAGCTGCTGTCTGAAAATGTAGCTACTTGAGCCTGTCTGCTGCACAGTTCTCTACCTAGTTGTTTACCAGCTTAGAGGGTAGGAGCATCTGGAGGATTGTGAGAGAAAATTGGGTTGGGTCGAAATAGTAAAAAACTGAATGGAGGAGAGCCACAAATTGCATCTCAAGAGCTTGTTCCCTGATCTGCACTGAAAGACTGTAGAATCCCCTTAATAAATAAAAGGGATGGGGAGGTGTTGATGGCAACTTACTGATGAGGACTGCAAAGTGAAGAGGTGAAGGAGGTGAGTAAAAGGCATAGGTGGGCCACCTTTTCATGCCTCAAATTAAACACGCAGGTAGTACATGTATTTCAGCAAGGTGTTTCCAGCCATTTCAAAAGAGATTGTCTCATTCTGCATATTAGTTACAAGTTTCTCAGAGTCTGAAAAAGAGAGTATTGCTAACTTTGAGCACAGAAAGTGTCTCGAAGATGCCGTGATGCATTAGTACCATCATGCATCCCTCTGAACACGGTCCAGGGGAGAGAGGAGCTTTTGCTGCCTCCAGTAGTTGTGCACAAAGCCCGCTGTACACCCAATAGTTTCCTAGACAGCAGCAACCCAGCAGGCATCTAAAGGTGAGTAGGGCATTCACTTTGTTTTGAGGTATTGTACCTAGGTGTCGGCAAACCTTATTTCATGGAAACTAAGATCCTTAATCAGGGGCTACAGACAGTTTAAAAATGGTCTGGTGCTTGTGAAGGTTGCCAGAAGTAGGCCAGGACATTGTTTTGCTGAGGAATGACAGGTTGATAGAGAGGGAGAACATCTGTCTCTGGGTAGGTGCGTAAGAGGGGAGCTAAGTGCTGCCATGGTAGTGCGCAGAAATAGATCCGTACCTGGTAGCCTAGTCGTTGTTTGTACTGGGTTTTGATCGCTTTTGCCCTGCGCACTTTTGTACTACATAACTAATACTGCAAGAAATATGAGGATTTAAATAATTTGTTTTATTACTGCTATCATTATCCCAAAAGAGAGCGAACTGTAGAATCTAATATCAACTTGTAGTTGATACATGGAAACTTATAGCCTGCAGTTTAATCATAGACAATGAGAGTCAGATTATCCCACCGGGAAGTAGACTGTTGATGGATTGAAGATGGGGACAACCTCTTAACTTTCCGGAGAGGACAGAAGTGGTGACTGCTGCAGATTCCCCTTATTGCCTTACTGAGGCTTGGGTGGCTTCTGTGGAATTTACTCACCACTATCTCTAAAAAGAAGGTACAAATAAGAAAGGAACTGGCAGAAAGACTACCCATGAAACAAAGCCAGGAAGAAATTTAGTCCTATTGAAGTAACAAAGATTACCATTTTCTTTGAGGGTCAGGATTTTGACCTCTGAACAGTCATCAGGAGAGCTAGCTTCATATGTGAAAGCTGCTGGCAGGGTGCATTTCAGTCCTGAAACGGTTATTACCATATGCTTCTCAATGGGTTAGGCAAAAGTGTCCTGTTTAGGTTTATCTGAAGCAGACATGCTTTTCTAGAAGAGAAGAGGACAAGGCTAAGGAAGAAACAGCTGTCCATATCACAAACACAGAGCAAAGCAACAGCAATAGCTGTGAAAAAAAAACTGTTTAAGCTGCTGATGGGGGTGTATTTGTAATCTTGTAATAATCTTTACAATTAAATTGGAAAGGAGTGGCACAGCATGTCTATATACCAGTCAATGTTTTAATTAGATTATTCTTTGCTGAAAGGGTGTGTGTGCTGTGTCCATGCTCAGAAAAGGCCAGCATTGCCAGATCAAATATTAATGGGGATATATTTCTGAATCCCTGCCTGCAGCTAAAAGAGATTGCTGTTGTCACCTAGATATTGTCCAGCTTTCACTGTCTTTGAAAACTCGGGCCTCAAAGCCTAATTAACTTTTTGTTCTACATCATTTTTGCAGTCAAAAGCTTCCTTAGTTTATGAAGCCTATGTAGTATTACTGTGATTAATAACTAGATCCTGATTTTTTTCCTTTCAAGTGAATGAACTAATGTAATAAAACATTCTTCTCTCTAATGTGCACAACAAAGAACCATCTGTGGGTATGCTCATTCAAACGGTTTAATGTAATTGCTATCAAGAATGCTTCACCCCCCCCCAATTATCTTTTCAATGGGGTGATTTATCACTTGGATGCCCTAAGGCTGTCATTAAAGCCAAAATACGGCTTATCAGAGTTGCAACTTCTTTGTCAGAATCCACATGCAATGCTAATTTCTGGTTCCCTGTTTAGAATTATACTTACTGTTTCCTTCTTCTGCTAATGGTTTTCTTGGAAAACTGAAATAGAATGAAAAAAACAGCTGGTGAAAAGGTTGAATTCCATTTTCAGGAAACTAACATATTGCCAATAGAGCACTTTAAAAATCTTATCTTGAAGAACTGGAAAAATAACCTGGACACTTGCTATTTTTCGATAAAGTCAAAAGTTGTGCGTGGAAGCTCTTGAAAAGTCCCCATATGCTTAGGATTAAATGTATGTGAGCTTGCAGAAACTAGTACTTGTATGTTGATGGATCAAATTCTGTAATCATGCGCTCTGGGACTTCAAGCTTTTTTCCCTTGGCTTCATCATGATTTAAAATAAATTTTGAAGGTGAATTCTGCCTTCATACTTTTTTCCCTAAAATACAGTAATAAATTTGTTTTCTCTGCATGTTGTATCTGTATTTTATTACTTTTAAGTAATAAAAGAGCTTGACTTCATAAGAAATGCTATTTAATATTACTTAGCTACTAAGTTAACAACCCTCTTTCAAAGAAGTTCTTTTGTGATGACCATACTGAGAAATAAATATATCTCCAGAAACTGGGCTGGGTTGCTGTTTGGACATTGATTATGTGTTTCTAAAGTGTGGCTCTGCAAACTTGTGTTCCAGTAAATTCCACGCAGAAGCACAAAACGAGTTGGATTGATTTCTCCTGCTGCTACTCTGTAAGCTCACAGAAATCAGTGGGTCATTTCTTAGAATAAGCAACTGGTTCTTTTCTGCTGGTTCTTTTTTTTTTTTTTTTAAATATTTATTGCAATAGTTTCGTTAGCAACCAAACCTTGATGTTTGTTTCTTTTACCCCTTATTCTCACTAATCAGGTTATTATTGAAACAATCAACTATAAGGGAGGCAGTAAAACCTGGATATTATATTTTTCTTAGAGCTGAGGATATTAACAGTCATTAACAATGTAGCAGAAACAGTTGGAACAATATTTTCAGTGGTATTAGCAGGTACAGTTGTAACTGGTTTTCATAAAGAGAATAAAAAAAGTGATGTCTGCATATTGAGCCAATTTGGAGATCATTCAGTCAAATGACACTCCCAGTGAAGCCTAGTGTATACCTAGCAGAATGAGTCAAATTGTCACAAATAAGACATAAATTATATATTCCAGTCTTAATTTGCAACATGAGATATTGTGCATATTAAAGCACTTACTGCACAAAAACATCTGTCAAGGCAGATATTCCTAAATAACACTTAACCACCGACCACTAGGTCATTTCTATTTAAGAAGTTGCGCAGTACTTTGGCAAATTCTAATTAGTGTATAATTGATCTAGAAGGCTTGCTTTGCTTAAATGCGGCAGTGTCTTAAATGTGTGCGGTTCTTATTGAAAGGCAAGTTGTTTGCTTTGCTTCAAAAGGAAATAAATATTTTCTGTTCAGTTTTATTACTTAGTCATTTAAACAAAGTCGGTCAGTTTTTGAAAAGCATAGAAATC